CAAATTGGAAGTAGATTGGACGAATGATCTCGATATCATAATCTTTTTTATGAAATTTCTTGGAAGATTTCTGATTATGTATGGCACGAGAATGGGCTGATGTACGAGATTTTCTTGTTATCGGTTGCTCAGAAAGAGACGGTAAAACTTCTGTTTGATGTTCTTGTATGGTTGCTGTTGCTGATGAAAAAACCGTGTGGCCGCCTACACGGTCCACAAGCGGCATTTCCGTGTCATTTGAAGATAATAATAAAAGTGCACTTATTGCTGTTGATTGAGATGTTGGTGAAGCAATTGAATTTTCTAAAACTGAAATTGTATGATGATCTGATGGTGCCAGTATGGAACTATTGTCCGTATGTTGAGCTGGCTCTAATTGTTGTTGTGATACTAAGTCTGGCGATGGAAATGTTGGTAATTGTGCTGGTGTTTTTGGCGGATCATAATGTAAAAGATTATCAAATTCAAACGTTCTTAAAGTTGGATCAATGCCAGCTGCCCAGTTTGTGCATGTGTGATACTTGTCAAGAAACAAACCATATCCAAACCATAAGGCCTTTTGTAGCGACCAGCTATTTGGCTGTCTTGGGTCTTTGTATGGACGATGAGGACATGTGCAATCTGGATGGTCGTCCGATTCTATATCATAGGGTGCAGCGGTCGTAACAAACAACCATCTTCCCCTGCCCATCAGGCTTGACAGTTATGATCATGGGGGTGATTGGCGTTGTACATTCTTCTAAATATTTGTTGTACATTCTCTGCATATGTGATGTCTGATGATTTAAATAATCCAAATTCGCCGAATTTCATCAGTTCGTCATCCAGCTCTCCCCACCCATAAAATAAATTAGCAGGCTGGAATATCATTGAACACAATTCCTGAATTCGTTGGCGTCGTGTCGAACCTCTTGGCGGCAAGAATTGAGTTTCTATCAAAATAATAACTAATGCCGATGATGCTCTTATTTCGTGTGGAATGAGAAGAAGCTGGATTAAAGCTGGTGCTTGTGTGTCAATGTCTGTTTCGGTATCTATAACATAATACTTGGTTTCTTTGACAATATCCATCAAATCATCAATAAATCTATGTGGTGTTGCATCATTAAGGTAATATCTCACTGGCTGCTTTGTAAATGATGGTACTCTTCGTGTCAACTGTTGTAAACTGTCCGTCTGGCCGACTACTCGGTCCACAACGGGTAGTTTAAATTTCGGTAACATCCTACGAAGTCGTTCATTCTCTTCCAGTTTTCTCTTTGAGAAATGTTTGGTTCTAATTCTGAACAACATCTAAATGTAGTAAAGAAAATGAAGTTGGGACAGATCGGCAGGCCCCTAAAACCGCTTGAAATTGCGCAGAACGTCTTCGCCCAAATGACCGCTCAGTGTTTCTTGTATTACGTTATTATATCTAATCATGTAAGTAATGAAATATTATCTGTTATTGCTAATAATTCCTTTATTATAAGCCATGTGGATCCTACATAACAAATAATTAACTATGACCTAATCAATGACCGTCGTTGGGAGCTTTGCACTTCACCAACGAGCTTCGTCAAGGTATAGGCCACCTTCTAAACGGGCAATTAAGTAAATATATCAAAACTACAAGATTTATAAATTGTGATCTTTAAAAAACAGAAATGTATCAGATTTGATTATCTTTACTATGATCTAAATGCACTTGAACGGAAATGCTGATGTGGACTAACTTATACTTAATTTAGATTCTTTTCTAGCACGAGACGAAGGTCATTTACATGTACTCGTGCTACTGCTCTTGTTTCAACATCGGCAACCCAATAAATCGGATGTTTAACTTCAATCACCATAGATGGTACTCTAGAATATTTGGCCTCTAATTTTGATCTGATTCCATACATTCTTATCAATACCAATTGTCCAACTTCATAGTGCGGGTCTTTTCTATTGTTATCATATCTTTGTTTAGATAGTTGTTGTTGATGAATCATATTTTGACGTGCATGACGATGATAAATTGCAAGATTCTTCTTCAATTGCTGATAATAATCATTTGGCCGGTTGAATATAACCATTTTAGGAGGTTCGTCAGGTGGTAGTTTTGGATCTTGACCAAATTGCAATTCAAACGGTGAATATCCGGTTGAAAAATGTTGTCCCGTATTATATGCAAAGACTACCGACGGGAGGTATTCGTCCCAATTGTTTGATTCTTGATCCTGTAATTTTGACAACTGTGGGACGAAGGTTGCATTGAAGCGTTCCACAATTCCATTAGTCTGTGGATGATAACAGGTGGAATAAATATGATTATGACCAAGAAGTGCAGTTAATGCCTTCATTAACTGATTCAAAAAATGGCTCCCCTGATCAGACAAAATTGTAGCCGGGACTCCATATTTACAGACATATTCTTCAAAAATAGTTCTTGCTGTGATCTGGGCATTGCAATCGGGAAGTGCAATTGCTGTCACCCACCTGGTAAAATGATCAGTAATACAAAGAACGTATTTATTTTCTTTGCATGTGGTTAAAAAGGGTCCACAATAATCAATTCCAATAACTTGAAAAGGGCCTGTTGGTGGCGTAATTGGATGAAGGTGCCCCGGTTTTTTCTGTCTGCTATAATTATGTTGTTTGCATACAATACAAGAATTAATATAATCTATAATATATCGTTGCATATCAGGCCACCAATATTTATATTTCATCTTTGCATACGTCCTTTGTACTGAAAAATGTGCAGATGTTGGATGATCATGATATGAGCGCAACGCAGGTTGAATCATTGATCGGGGAAGGTAAATTAGCTTGGATTTTGTGTGTCCTTTAGCTCTAGATAATAGTTTGTAAATGATACCATCTTGAATTACATATGGATGTTTGTGAGGTTCATGTTCAACTTCTTTAAACTTGTGCTGGACAACAGGGTCTTTTTGTTGCTCCTCTTTCAGTTTTGTAATATCAAAATGGTCAGGTATAATTGTGGATTCTTCCAGAACTTGAAAGCTGTGTGCTAGGTGGTAGATCATTAGTTCGTTCTACTTGTTGTTTGGCTTTTGATCTTGTTGTAACACCGACCATGACGCTAAGCGTATGGCAGCTCGTAGAATCTGTTTCAATTCCATATTCGGTATCCATTAATTCATCTTTTTCAAAGGTAGGATTCCTCGACATATAATCCGGAAGACAGTTGTATCTACCCTTGATATGAATTATCTGCTCAATGTTGTATTCTTGAAGAAGCAGGGCAATTCGATCCACGCGTTTATTTTTCACGGTTTTCTGCATCATGTTGCAAATTGGGCAATGATCCGTATACAATATAATGCTTCTACCCAATATGTAGGTCCGCATGCGATCAAAACACTTCCAAATAGCCAACGCTTCCTTTTCAATGGTGTCATAATTTTTTTCTGCCTTTGTAATCAATTGGGAGTGGTAATAAAGGTTATGTCTTTGACCGTTAATTTCTTGATGGAGAACTCCACCGATTCCCAAATTGGACGCATCTGTTGAAAGTATTACTGGATGACTATCCACCGGGAATTGTAATAACAACGGAGCTGTGGTCAACATTTTCTTGAGCTCGTGAAATGCCTTCGATTGCGGTTCTTTCAACGGAGTCATCGGATGATGGTGATGCCTCTGGGAAAAATAATTTTAAGAATCCATCATTAATTTTCGTTTTAATTAAAGTTAACAACAAAATGATGAACGTCATGATTGATACCGGAGCCACAAACACCATTATTACTGAGGAAGCACTACGGAAAACAAAACACCAAAAATTTACCACCTCATCACATCACACATTACAAATGGCCGATGGAATTGCACATTTAAAAATGATGGGAACAGTCGACTTAGAAATCAAAATTAAGCAAATGGTAACAACGATTACAGCAATAGTGGTGAAGACTTTGTTTACTGATTGCATTATTGGAACCGATTATATAAAAAAATATGCTGTACAAGTACATGGCGGAAAAGAAACAGTTACCATTCAAAAAGGCAATCAGTTCGTAACTGTGTCAATGGAAAAACAAGTGGATCCATTGAAAATGCCGTTGAGGTTGACGGAGTCAGTCTTATACCTCCACAGGACGAGTTAATAGTTAAGCTTTCTGCCTGCGTTTCGGCAGCTGGAGTCCTATTTAGACCGTCATATAACTTAAGAGAACAGATTCCAGTATTTATGTCAAACTCTCTTTTGGAAATTCAACAGCATGAAGCGTTGCTGTCAGTTCGAAATCCAACAAACTTTCCATGCAT